AAGACGGCTAGTGCGCCTCCAGATGAACATGCGACTTGATCATCAAGATCGGTTCTTTCTAAGTTTCAAGGAATCAGGTTCGAGAAGAAGTCAGTATCTATGCAACTGTACACACCTGGCTCAAGGGGAAGAGGGCGGGTGGTGAAGAAGACGTGTGATTCAATCGCAGGTCATCATGGCAGGGCACGCCATCGTTGTGATGATCACAACGGGGGGGGGGGTCGTATTTGGCCGTTGTTGAGAGAGGGACTGCCAAAGATCTATACAACTACTATTTCCGATAGTTGAAAATGATAGTTAAATCCTGACGACCTCCCCCCCGCTCGACAGCAAAATTTTGCAGATCGGAATAGAAACCGCACTCAATTATTTGTTTGCTAGTGAAGTAAAAACAGAGGAGACCGCCGGAAACGTCCTGAAACACCCTCCCCTCGTGACTGATTTTGAGCATCGGACGAGCCTACAAAGAAGCGAGAGGCAATAAAACACTGTGCCCTGGAACGAGAGCCCAAGAAGCGAGATGGCACACAGCCGCAAGAAAAAGGTGCCAGAAATCGAAAAGGAGGACCTCCTTATGCAGCACGCAATCCATTTCCACACCCCAATCCACAATCGTTCTGACATTTCAAATGCTATTTGGCCCACGTAGGGACTTCAGGTGAGGTGTTGGCTTACCGGACGAATCTAGCCAAGGCACGTCTTACGTTGGGGATCCGAAGGGGAGGTGTCGTACTTGCTGTTGAGAAAAATGTCTCCTGTTGTTAACTCCCCCGCTTTTTCCCGTTTCATGTGATCGATACCCCACCTTCCCTCGACGGCAGCTTTTTTTCTCGGAGGGGGGGGGAAGGGAGTGAGAACGAGCATGGGTAATTTTGGAAAACCTTGGGAAAGTAACTCTTGGAACCTTGGGGAAGTGGTACGAAGTTGACAGCATCAAAGAAGATGATAGGTATGATGGGAAAGCAGTTGCGCCAGAGGATTAAATTCTGAGCGGGAGGTGGGGGCGTACATAGCAAATCTTTCCTCAAGACGTTGACGCGCTCGATTATAGTACGAAGTTACTTGCACCAGAGCATGGAAGCTTGGTCGGACCAAGCGGGAGTTGACCTGCAATTCGACCACGAGATCGTGTGGGCGGTAAGCGGCGCTACTTACCAGTAACTAATCCTGTCGTTAGGCACGAGAACATGCAGCGATTACGCCACTGAGCGTTCACTCAACCCATGGGGTGGAGATTCACACACTTTAAAAGTCTTTGGCCTCCTTATCATGAAATTTCAAGTTCGTAGCGTTGTCACAGGTGAGTGGCGCTTCTTTCGCCATAGTGGAGCAGGCTACTTCAAACGAGACAGGAGTTGTACAGGTTGTGAAGTCACAAACTGTGCCTTTAAGTCACGCAATATTCAAATGCACTTGTTCATTTATTGAATCACACATATTTACATTCACATCCGGAACTAATCACAAGCAATGCCACAGTCATAGATCAACTCTACACGTCATGATAGCCTAGCTACGAAATTCTTTGTAGAACGAATCACAGAGTTATATTGCCAACGATCAGATGTAACATAATGGGAACCAACGTAACGTCGTTGCAGCTTTGCCGTGATGCAATTGCTTCCCAGTCAATTAATATTGATCACAACTCAAGTACTTTTAGCTTTAACATGAAGACCAGTATGGATATTGCCGTATAAGATGAGATACTGAGCAGTGTAATAAGTTGAAAGAATGGACATCTCTGGCCATGGAACTATGTAGCCAGTATGATGGAGGACTAGAAGTGAATCCGATATGAAGAATAGTAGAAATCCCACGTATCGAAGAAATAGACCCTGAAAATACTCATTCATACATATTTTTATTTCTTCACATTTCATTCTGTTCACACAAGAAATCGACCGCCAGCAAAATGCATGGGAGGCATTGCTGGGTGCGACTGTGACACATCACGTCTGCTGGTCTGCGCCCTCTCACCGAGACAGTGTTTGGCGGTCGCTTCGGCCTCAGAATGAGTTTAGGGTGCGTACGCCACTTTCCTGCGCAATCAATTTCCCCACGATCCATTTTGAACTTCTCTGGAAACTATCTCGATGATAGGATGCAGGTGAGCAGAAATGACGAGGAATAACCACGCCGCCACGTAGCTCTCTGTTCCAATGAGGTGCGCAATATATTCAACTTCCATTCCCAGTCTTAAACGCATAGAGGTTCACGTTCAGCCTGCAGTGGAGCAGCGTTTAGACTTCGCGATAACGCATGCCGACGCGCTGCGAAGCGCGATGACGCGCTGTAACGCGTGACGGCGCGCTGTCGTCGCGAAGCCTGAACGCTGCCTAACGATCTCTGCAAGCCTTTCCTCTTCCATTACTTATTTCCTTTGTTTTCACTTATGCTAGGAAAAAGATTTCTTGTGGAAAAACTTCATCAAACTCATCTATAAACACCTGCCATTCACCTTACTGTAGCCCTGTTCGCTGCGGACGCTGGGACATGCCAGGGGGCCGGTTTGGCGCAGCGCCAATTCCAGTTTTGCACCAATTGTCGCCTGCCGGTTTCCACAATTGTAGAGAACGGGCTGGAAAAGTGCCAAATCCAGCCCCATGACACGCCCCAGCATCCGCAGCCAACAAGATTGAATATCACGGATAGCGCGTGCTAGAATTTTCAGTGACCCAGGAACCTCACACAAAAGTCGCCCCACCCATCCCTTAGACCACGCCCACCGGCCATACACAACTGTTAACTATGCCAATTTAATTTTACATCGTACAACACACATTTCGCGAAGGAATTCTCCTCAATTTCCATTGCTCTGCCAGCATAATTGACAAAATAGTCTACAACAGCGACCTTAAGGTCAACAAGCAGTTGCGAATCGATTGTCTGACCAGAACGCAATGCAACGGCACGCGTCCTAGTCTGTCGATTCTGATCGGGGCTCCGAGTACACTTGAATTACGCATAGGTTCCCAAAAAAGAGTAAAAGTAAATACCTTCTCATCATCCTCCCGTCGTCGATTAAGGTATTGTGAACCAGTAACTGCAAGGCAGGATGACAGTATTAGCGAATACGTAGACAGTAGGAGAACTTCGAATAGATGCTGCTTCAGCATTGGTAAAAAGCATAAATGACCAATAATTGCACCCCACACAAATGTACCAATCAACAATGGCCAGTGTATTTTCGTAGGGCGTGACAATATTTGTGTCTGAAAGCATATTACAATTAAAAAGCTTACCAGGATACAGTGGCGGAGGTTGTGTAGTGACAAGCGGCACGTTTACTGAGCGCGCGGTTCGGCGGTTGAATCCCGGATCAGCTCCTGCCAGGCCAACCAAGCCTTCTTCCCATGCAGGGACGGTAAATTCATACCAGGTTCGCTTAGGAGGATGAAAACACTGACTTGTACATTGGCTGACCCCAACAAGTCATTGTATAGGTACAGGGCCAGCTGAATGCATAGAGACATTCCACGATAGTCAGACGGGCGGAGACTTTAACCCCTGCTCCTTGCTCATGGGAGCGCTTTTCGTTCTATTATAACACGGCAATGAAAAAAGGGCGCGCCACTGAGGAAGACATGTGAGCCTCCGTCCATCTGACCAGGGCGGAACATGTCTTTAGACGTTCCAATCCTTGACTTATCGCGAACGAAGAGC